GGGTGCAGGAAAAAAGCTTGCGGAGAAGGGGAACAGACTGTCAGGGAAATGGTTAAACCCCAGCCCTTGGGTCATTTGAACTGAAGTGAGAACACACTGCAGGGAACATTTGTGCAGGCAAAAATAAGATCAACAGGGATTTTCCATGAATAGTATCTTGTACAGTGGAAGAGGCTTAAATTGCATTCTGTCAGATCCCCCTCTCCTCATGTCTGATCGTGTTCTTTCAGACAAGTGACATATATAGGATGCCAAAACATCCCCCCAGTGTTCGCATCTTCTGCTTCCTTTCTGACTAGTAAGACAGCGATCCACCAGTTTAAAAGGTACTTTCCCAAGGAAAGCACTGAGGGGACCATCACTTACATTTATGATACCTGTCAGACACAGATTTTTCAGACCCAGTGGTTATATGTGTGGAAAAAAGCCCACGGAGATGAAGGTTGTTAAAGGGAGGAGATCACACAAATGATGTGATCACATTACCGCCCAGAAATACTTGGCACTGTGGAGAGGAGTGTATTTTTCACACACAGAAGTTGCATCAAGCACTGACACATACCTGGACTTGGGCAGCTCCTGAACTGTTTGGCTGAACAGAGAGCTCAGCAAAGTCAGGGCCTTATTTTCAGGTCTTACGAGCAACTGAGGAATCCTACTGGAGTCACTGAAAACAAGCAGCACCATTAAAAATCGAGTCATGCGGCTAAGTGAGCAAACAGGTAGTCAGGCAACTGCCTGGAACCACTGTCAAATAATTACCTCAGCACACGCACAGTCCTCATGCTTTGGACTGAAGTTTTCTTAAGCAAGAGATAGTTAGAATCAGCATCATAGCAGGGCTTGGGTTGGAAAGGATCTTTAAAGGCCATCTAGTCCAACCCCCCCTTGTAATGAGGGGTGGTAAGGCCATACCTTTGGGGAGCAATGTGTTGTTTAACAGGCTCAGCTGCCTCATAGGACAAGCCTGCACCAACCTGGTTAACTGGATTAGTTCGAACCATTAGTAAAGGTGATTTGAAATAAGCAAGCTGCTTTGTGTCTGAAGCAGACAAGGGCCATGAAGCATCATCTCTCCTAATTCCAGCTGTCTCAGATGAAAATATTTATACTCCCTACTAAATCAACTCAGTCCCTTCATCACTAGTTACCATTCTTTTTGGTTTTCTAACTAGGCGTGTGCTGTGTCCCTTTCCAACCCATTTCCAAGTAAATTGAGCCATATGAGTAGATCTTCAGCTTTTAAACTGCTCTGTGAAATAATCTGTTACTGAGTGGGTTAGTGGGGAGCAGTTCTGCAGGCACAGAGGAAACAATTACCCTTGCAGGGGGAGGAGGCAATAATTTCTTCAGCCAACTCAGTGCAGCTGAAATAGTCTGTGTCCAAAGCCCAGGAACATCACACGACCCACTTCTACAATGCTAAGAAATTTAGCCTTCTGCTGGAGGTGGTGACTTGTGAAAGCATTCTGGAAGGTCCCACAGGAATATATCCTTAGGGGAAAACCAACACTAAATTATGTGGAGATGGACTAAGTGGCTGCTGGAGAATTGTTATCTTTGTGCAAGCTTTATTTGCTGGGGTACATTTAATTATGAGAATGGAAAATACAGTCCTCTCTATGACACCCAGATTGTAAAATTAGAATTAGGCAAAGCTGCCCAGGGTATAAAATGTAGGTGTGTGCTCCCATGAATCTAAATCCATAAAATAAATACAAAAACTAAACAAGCCCCTTTTCCAGGAATTAGAATCATAGAATCATAGAATAGTTAGGGTTGGAAAGGACCTTAAGATCATCCAGTTCCAACTACCCTGCCATGGGCACAGACACCTCACACTAAACCATCTCACCCAAGGCTTTGTCCAACCTGGTCTTGAACACTGCCAGGGACAGAGCATTCACAACCTCCCTTGGCAACCTATTCCAGTGCCTCACCACCCTTACAGTAAAGAATTTCTTCCTTATATCCAATCTAAACTTCCCCTGTTTAAGTCTGAACCCATTACCCCTTGTCCTATCACTACAGTCCCTAATGAAGAGTCCCTCCCCAGCATCCCTATAGGCCCCCTTCAGATACTGGAAGACTGCTATGAGGTCTCCACGCAGCCTTCTCTTCTGCAGCCTGAACAGCCCCAACTTTCTCAGCCTGTCTTCATACAGGAGGTGCTCCAGTCCCCTGATCATCCTTGTGGCCCTCCTCTGGACTTGTTCCAACAGTTCCATGTCCTTTTTATGCTGAGGACACCAGAACTGCACACAATACTCCAAGTGAGGTCTCACGAGAGCAGAGTGAAGGGGCAGGATCACCTCCTTCTACCTGCTGGTCACACTCCTCTTGATGCAGCCCAGGATACAGTTGGCTTTCTGGGCTGTGAGTGCACACTGAAGCCAGCTCATGTTCATTTTCTCATCAACCAACACCCCCAAGTCCTTCTCCTCAGGGCTGCTCTGAATCTCTTCTCTGCTCAACCTGTAGCTGTGCCTGGGATTGCTCCGACCCAGGTGTAGGACCTTGCACTTGGCATGGTTAAACTTCATGAGGCTGGCATCAGCCCACCTCACAAGCGTGTCAAGGTCCCTCTGGATGGCATTCCTTCCCTCCAAGGTATCAACCGAACCACACAGCTTGGTGTCATCGGCAAACTTGCTTAGGGCGCACTCAATCCCACTGCTCATGTCAGCGACAAAGATGTTGAACAAGACCGGTCCCAACACCGATCCCTGAGGGACACCACTCGTTACTGGTCTCCAGCTGGACATTGAGCCATTGACCACAGCTCTTTGTGTGCGGCCATCCAGCCAGTTCTTTATCCACCGAGTGCTCCATCCATCAAATTGATGTCTCTCCCATTTAGAGACAAGGTTGTCGTGTGGGACAGTGTCGAATGTTTTACACAAGTCCAGGTAGATGCCATCAACTGCTCTACCCCTGTCCATCAGTTCTGTGGCCCAATCATAGAAGGCCACCAAATTGGTCAGGCAGGATTTCCCCTTAGTGAAGCCATGCTGGCTGTCACCAAGCACCTTGTTGATTTTCATGTGCCTTAGCATGCCTTCCAGGAGAATCTGCTCCAAGATTTTGCCAGGCACAGAGGTGAGACTGACTGGTCTGTAATTCCCCGGGTCATCCATTTTCCCCTTCTTGAAAATGGGGGTTATATTTCCCTTTTTCCAATCATCGGGAACTTCACCTGACTGCCATGATTTCTGAAATATGATGGACAGTGGCTTAGCAACTTCATTCGCCAGCTCCTTCAGGACCTGCGGATGGATCTCATCAGGTCCCATGGACTTGTGTATGTTCAGGTTCTTAAGATGGCCTTGAACCAGATCCTCTCCTACAGTGGGCCCAAGGTCTTCATTCCCACAGTCCCTGTGTCTGCCTTCCAAGACTAGTTGCAGAAGTTTCTTTTCTTGTTCAAAAGAGATGTCCCTGCAGCTTAAAAGAAAACAAAACTAAAAAATTTGGGAAGGAGTGGGTGGATTATTTAAATACCAGTAAGAAGGCGAGCTTGTCAAGATAAAAATGATGTTGACACAAAAGGGATAAGAGGATATAATCTGACCATGAACACGTTTAGGCTTGTCATTTCTTATCATTACAGTTCTGGACACTGGAACTGCACACAGTACTCCAAGTGAGGTCTCACAAGAGCAGAGTAGAGGAGCAGGATCACCTCCTTCAACCTGTTGGTCACGCTCCTTTTGATGCACCCCAGGATACAGTTGGCTTTCTGGGCTGCGAGCGCACCCTGAAGCTGGCTCGTGTTCAGCAGACTTTCTCTCCTAGTCACTCTGTGCAGTGAATCCAGCATCTCCAATGGACCATCCTGAGATCTGTGATGTAAACCACACACAGCCATGATGCCATGGGTGTTAGCAGAACTGTGTGGCTGTTTCCCCTCTTTAGTTATAAAGCAGGGAAGAACATACAGCGTCAGTCCCCACAAAGGCAAAAGCAAAGGGACTATTACTCCTCTTGCCCTTCCTCATCTTCACCTCACCCTTTCCTATTCCCTCATAAGCTTGCCCCAGATAACTCACAGTTTTGACTCGTGTACAGTGAAAAACCGTTAAAAGCAACTTCCCACCATGTGGAAACAGAATTTTCCAAGGGGCTGGACGAAGACCACAAAATGAAGTCCCCAGGGAAGCATAAAACTTCTCCATCTTGAGCATAAGATTAAAATTAAGCACACCAAAGCCCTGTGAATCACGTACATCTACAACTTGAAGACAATGAGACAATAAACACTGAATTTATGTTAATTACATTATTTAATGCAAAATTGGATGTCCTTAGACAGACTGGTGGTGAGAACCTGGCTAGATCAGAGCAGAAAAGGAGAAGCCTCCAAAGGACAGCAAAGAGGGAGGAGGAGTATGCAGGGAAGAGAGATGAAGTAATAGGCAGCTTGTCAGGCAATTCCCCAACCTTGGAAAAGAGATGTGGACAGCATTCCCAGGGGAATAAGGTGTAATGAGGTCACCCCCACGAAGACCAAGGAAACTATGTAGATTTATTTTTCAATGGATTGAAACTTTTCTCAATGAATATTCCAAGGATAAGTTTAAAACTGGGTTGACTACAACAGATCTGGGGCAATAACCACAAGAATAGCTCATGATTTTGACCACAGGAGGGCTCCCAGGTTTCATGGATGCATATGGTAACCTTTAGAGAAAGGCTAGAAATAGATCATGAGGCATGGAAGATGAAAGCCATGGAGATGCACCCTTAGTTCAGACTGGAGGCCTGCTAGGCCAGCTAAGCCCGCTATATGGCTTTCATCTTCAACAAAATAGAGAAATAAAAGGAAGCATTTGTTCTGCAGACTTTTCTCTACTGCCATAAAAGAATCATTATTAAAGTGTCAGGTGTTAGATCCATGAAGCAGCAGTGTTTCTTCCAGTGTTACCAGCAAGGAGAACCTTTGAAATTCAGGGTGACTGCTAGTGAACAATGTTCAGGGATTCAGTTTTTCTCACATGGGGAAAGACTGCCAATCTCTGACCAGGCTGCAGCCCACACAGGTTAGATACAGCCCGCCAGAAGCAAACACATCATCTGTGACCTGCTTCCCATTGTCTTTTCCACTAGACTGCAGATGCAGCCAGTAACTGACCTACAGACCCTGAGTTCAGCCAAGGGCCTTTGGGCAGCAGGAGACAATGGTGGGCAAGGCAGATGAGCATCTGATTAAGTGAGGTGAGTAGGGACAACTGTTCATGTGATTCTACAACGGAGGAGGAAGAGGATGGTACATTTCCTGTTGACCCAGAACACCATGGCTATGCACCCCGAAACACAACAGCCAGCTAGAAACGTGAAGACGACTTACAGCATAATTGACAACGTGCATCAGGAAGAGAGGAGGTGAAACTGCAGCTGTCACCAATATCCTAAGGACTTTTTTAGACGAAAATGGGCAGATGAGCCACTGAAGTCAGTGCTGAGACAGATCCTCACCACTGATGTGCCTGGATTGGTCTGAACTTTCCAGTCCCAGAGGAGAAAATACTGACATTAATAGTTCATTTTCTGCACTGTTAGTCAGTCATGGCCTATATGGAGAATTTTGGTTGATTCATCAGATCTTTGACACCCTACCCTCAATGACATTAAATGCCTCTGTACAAAGACACACACAAAGGCAAATACCATCTAAAATTCTCTGAAGAGGGTTTTTACCTTCAAAAGCTGTCCCTGGGGTTCTCTAGCTGTACTAGAGAAGAAACCAGCACTATATCATGGTCTTCCATGTCCTTTCTGCAGGAGGAGTGTGTAAGACCTGATGTACCTAATAGCTGGGAGAGCTGGTGGCAGTGCACACTGTAGAGATATGCTTGTGCACGGAAATTGCACTGGCTAGGCTGACACTAAAGCTCTTGCAGATGATGAACATATCAAAGCTGAAATAAAAGAGGAAGGCAAAAAAAAAATAATTAATTATAAGGATATAAGAGAGAACTTTTCCCACTTCAGGAGGGAGAAGAGACTGAATAGATTGAAGGTCTTGGAGAGACACCAGATGCTGCCAGAAGGAAACCAGGGCAGGTTTATGAAGTCCCTGTTCCTCTTCCAATAGATCAGTCCTTCACATCCAGCAGATGAAATAACTCCCTACTTTCTGCACAGAGCAAAGAAACAGAAAACTTCTCAAAAAATTATCACCTGTAAAAGATTTTATCCTTTTCCATTGAGGGTTTATGATGACATGTAAGCTCACCTCTTTTCTAGTAAATTCCAGCATTAGAGTCAATCAGTTACAGCTGTGCTAATCCTCAGTTACTAACTTCTTTACCTGCTGATCTCTCCATGGTGAAACCTGCAGATGAAACCAGAGTGGTCTACATCTGCCTTTCCCTCCTGTGTTTAGAAAGCAGCAGGTATGGTAAGGCTGCAGAACAACTATGCATGTACTGTGGATGCCACAGCAGGGCAGGGATTTTCCGTTGTGAGGGCAGGTCTGAATAGGTTACATCCCAAACTTTTGACTTGTAAAGACAAAGAAACCTGTGGGTTTATTTACCACGGCTGACTGCAGCAATGCTGCTTTTTATGTCAACATACAATGTTAGCTTGTACTCTGTAGTGATGGACTGTTTGTGGTAACCTTGGGAATACTGCTCTTATCTTATATTTACACAACAAGTGCAAAGAAACGAGATTAGGTATTTTGTCACAATGTTTAAAATGCCTTTTTTGATCCTGTCTTGAACAAGGGCTGAACTTTAAACATTTAAAACACGTGGTCTCACTTGGAAAATGTACAGTTACCACAGTACTCATCATTTGCTGGCAAGTCTATCCTGATCAGAGTACACTTGTATTACCATGACTATCTATCTCAGGTCAAGTGCAACAGTTGTCTGGGAGTGCAGCAAGGGAAATGGATACTAGAGTCACAAAACCAAGCTGGACTAGGACTACAGACAGGATGGATGCACACACTCTGTGTCATCCCTCTGGAGACAGGGGAGGACTCTGGCAAGGAACCAGGCCTATCACAAGCATTTGAATGGATGGGATTGATAGAAAACTGAGCATGATTTACTCTCCAAAGGGAGATTTGCTTCTACAGCCCCTGTATTCAAATTTTATTTCAGCGACATGATTCTGAGGCTTCTGCTTTACAAAACTTCCCCTGTGCCCTACCACCAGTGGTACCACTAACCAGGAATTATTTTAAAACCTCACATATTAAACCCAACACAGGAGCGCTGTGACCAGCTTTACTGGGCTTACTGTATGCATGTCCTTAAGCATATTGTTCAGCCTCTCCATGCCCCAGTTTTATCCATGCCTGTGATAGAAACCACCTCCAAGGAAGGCTGTGAAGTTTCATTTGTCTCCCTGTGCCAAAACAGCAGTATAAACCACACTGCCATAAGTGCAAAACTGGTTTGAAGAGCACTGGACTGCACCAGAGGGGAGGTGGCAGCTCTGCAGCACCCGCACATTGCCCTGCTCATGGAAAGCAAAAAAGGGGAATTTTCTCAATTGCACCACAAGTAGTATCCCCCTCTGTCACCTTAGACAGCTGCTGAGGTAAGCTGCACAGCCCTGTAATGTGAACTTAAAGATGTTTGGGTTGCACACAAGTCTGAAGGGAAGAATGGATGGAATGTGAGATCCAGCTGATATAAATTTGTTTCCTTCAGGTCAGGTCCTGCACTCTGCCCTCACTGTAGAGGACTCCATCCTTCCAGAGTCCTTGTTCTGCTCCTGCAACAAGCAACACCTTCAGGGGGGAACTCCTTCAACTTTCCTGAGAAGTTTTCTGTTTCCTGGCTGTGTGCAGAAAGTAGGGTATTATTTCATCTGCTGGATGTAAAGGACTGATCTATCCGGAGAGGCTGGATGCAGGGGAAACAGGGACATCATAAACCTGCCAAATAAATCTTCTCCAGCCCTGGTTCCCTTCCAGCAGTATCTCCTGGACCTTCAACCTGTTCAGTCTCTTCTGTTTCTGGAAGTGGGAACTTCCTCTCTTATCTCCTCGTGACAGCTTTTGCTTTCTGGCCTCTCCTACAAGACCTGTGTTTTCATTTGTTAAAATATCTTCGCACCATCAGCTGGCTGACCATTACATATACAGCACTTAGAAGCTGGAAACTATGGCAGGATTGTTTCAGAGCAGTATCCACAGCAGGGACACAGCAAGACTGGCTTACTTAAAGATGGGTATGTAAATTTACTTCCTTTGAATACTGGGAAAACTTCACAAGGTGGCACAGACCTGACAATCACGTTTTTTAATTCTCTTGTTCATCTGTATTGTGTTGTAAAGTGTTTTACAACACAATGCAAACTCTGTTGCCAAAACAATGCCAGTGTCCAAGTGAGTGCAGAAACCTTGCACCTAACACCATGAAGGGAATAAAGGCTGGAAATCAAGAACAGCGAAGTAGCAGCAAGCAGGAAGTATCAATCTATCCAAGCTGTTAGCTGATCAGGATAGAATATAATCAGTAGTAATTAAATATGCCAGTACTGCCAGTATAGGATGGTGACTTCAGCTGACTTGTCATCATGGTAATGCTGTTGGTCAGGTTACTTGACCTGCTTTCAGTGTTTATTTGTTCAGAATAAGTAACTATGAAAAGGGGTTAAAAAAGGTAACAGTTTCCCGTTGCAGGGATATTCCAGTTGTGTAACTGCCTCTGAAGGGTTTCTCCAGAGCAAAAGGACTTTGTTAGGTGTGCAGGACACATACGGCTTTTGTTGCCTTGACAACTGGTCAACTGAACTGCCTCCAACCCATTAAACATGCCTCAGATTTACATCACCCATTGCAAACAGTGATTACCCAAACCCTCAAAACTAGTGGTTGCTTGACAGAAAAATTCAGAGCTTGTTCTCCTCAACAGACCTCTTGCAGAAGCTGGAGTAATATCAAGGAAAGGAAACATGTAACAGAAGCAAGTGGTATTTCATATTTTCAAAATGGTTTAACAGGAATAGAAAGCAGAGGGGGTCCTTCCTACACATGGCCCTAAGCTAACATTCACCCTGATGAATACCAAAGGGAAGTTACAAGTTTCCTTTAAAACGTCTGTTGTTCCTGCAGAGGCCATGCTGTTTAGAGGGATTTACAAGGCTTTAGCTTTGCGCTGGAACTTTTGTGTTGATAAGGTATCTTTCAACAGGAAAAAAACCCATGCAATTCACAGAAGTCACCAGCATAGCTACTTCTGCCAGCATGGTCAAATAAATCAGCAGTGCCATACAACAGCATGGGACAAGAGCTGAAGAGAACTAAGCAGAATAGAAATAAACTACTAGTATTTATTCTCACAGCAAGCAGCTGAGTAAGAAAATCACATTTCCTACTCACCAATCATCATTCTTTAGTGAAACTGAGGTAAACAGTCTCTCCCAACCATCATCCAACATCACTAACTATTTCAAAAGCCAGCTTCTCTGAGTGTAAGAATATCTTTCAGAGCTTAAATGTTCCTTTGGTATAAATATTTTGGGAGAAAATAAAAGAATTACATCATTTGTTAGATTAAATTAGAAATAAAAAAAAAAAAACAAAAAACCAAAGCAACAGATTAATGTCAAAGCAAAATGGTAGTGAAGGTCTTGAGTTTAGTTTCTGAACAACCACATTATATAATCACTAAAGTTGGTGTTGAAGGAATTAGGTCTTAACTGAAAACGGGTTTAAATCCAGAGGAAATACCCTTTGTAGCACATGTAAGAACGTAAAGTTTATCATGGCAAGAAGCCCTGCCAAAAGCTTAGAGGAAAATACTTCTGTGCTACCAGACAACCACAAGAGACAATTTTTAAGTTGCAGGAATCAGATGTTTCCCAGAGCTTTATGCAGTTATTAGAATTCCTACCCTAACATTTTGGGAGGGATTTTAAAGCCTTCAAATTTCGTGCTTTTCTAATTTAATCTAAAATAATAAAATTTTGTCTACTGGTCACAAGAACTTTATCACTGGTGTTAACATGATTAATTCCTGTTTGCTGCTTTCTCTTAAAGAGATGTTACAGCGCTGCAAGTTGCTAAAATTGTGCCAGATTAATTTTACTTAGGAGACCTGGCTACTTGTCTGTGTACATGGCTGAGATGCTTTCCAGCCCTTTCCACTTCCCTCCAGGATTTCAACCCTTGAAAATAGATGCAAAGCACTTCAGTAGAGAGGGAAACCTGTAACCCCAAATGATAGCTTTGTAATAGCACCACTGGTGGTATGAGTCTTGAGAAGAATTCTAACCAATAATTTAACTTTTACATCAGCTAACTACATTAATGCTAATGCTTCATACCATATACCTTCTGTAGAAGCTGTCCATGACAAATAAGGCTAGCATGCAACAGTGTCTCTTCCATTGGCTTAGGACTGTGCCATCATTGTCACTTGGAGGGGCTTGCCAGGATTACGAGACTGTCGTCTCTAAGTCAAAGCAGGTATTGGCGATGGCACAGGTAATGGAGCAGACATTCCCAGGAACCAGCCAAGAGCAGCAGCAGTGCAGAAGAATGTAACACAGCCTTACCAGTGACAGCAGATATTGTCATGTCACAGCCTCCCCACAGCTCCCGAGCAGGGCCATGTATGGGGTACCCCAGTGGCTTATGACACCAAGCAAACTCCTCTCCCAGCTTTGCTACTATGGCAAAACCTAACTAGTAATGACATTCTGTGGGTGTCTGGTTTACGGACTCACTGCTGAGCAGTAAGGCAGGGCACCTGTAGTCCTGGCAGTCCTCTTACAAGCAAACCTAAGCTCTGCCTGGTGAATAAGAGAGATGTGGCAGCACTCAGCTGCCCACAGGCCCCTCTGAATGTCCCTGTGAAAGCAAATCAAAACACATTAAAAAAACTGAATGTGTGGTTTATTATATTTAAGATGCTATTTGTCTATAGGGTTTAAATATGTCTGTCATATAGTTAACAGTAAATGAATGTAATTTTACATGTTCAGTATTTTGATACACAGTACAGGACTACAAGTGTGGTAAAGGAACATGGGAAATTAATATTTCCGTGATGCACGTATCAAACCCTGCAGCACCACTTAAAAGCTCGGAGTAGGGCCTCAAGCTGCAGTATTACAAGCGCTACTAAATAAACCAAGAGACATACCTATATTAAACATTAGAGAAACAAACAAATGACACAAGGGTTTAATATTTAAGATTTGATACAGGATTAAAATACTAATATTTTTAATGTCCTGGTTTCAAATTAATAAATATAAAAACAATATAAAAATATACACCAGTTGATAAAAGGATGCACTGAGTAAGGTTAGAAAGCTAAATTTCACTTTCAAACGTATGCAGGTATGTCTTTAGGGAGAGGATTTCTGTGTAGCTGCGACTGGTCTTTCGGAAGAAGTCCAAGCTTGTGAGCTGTTCGATGTCACGCACACGTGCAGTGTGCATCTTAAGGAGATCTTCAACCCACTTCGATTCATCCTCCAAGCTCTGAAAGGTAAAATAAAGTTTTATCACATGCCACATCAAAAATCAGCTCCAAAAGCAAATGCAACTTTTCTAAACGTTGGGTCCATCTGAAGAATCTCTGTGCCCTGTTCAAGAATGACTGAGGTAAACAAGTTCCAAGAAAACAGATTTGAAACATACAAGATGATTCCTATTTTATTTTGGGACCCATTTTATGATGGGATAGAGACAACGACCATAGTCATCTAGGAAAAGCTGGACTGATGCTGCAGGCATTGCAGAAGAGCAGCCATATGCTTTTAGAATATCCATTCGTCCCTATGTCTTTTTTTCTCCCACAGAAGAGCTCCATATTCATCAATTGTGTGTTACTAAAGCCCAAACACCAGGCTGTTTAGCTTTGAACCCTGCCTCTACACATTATTCTTATTTGACCAGCACCTCTAGCATAATATTCTTTTAAACTTTCCACTTTAATGTTAGGATTACAATTCATTGAACAGTTGGGATTATGGTTTTTGTTGTACCTGTAAAATCCTGTTATTGGAACATAC